GTTTGAACTCTCTGACCTTAAGTCAGTATGGAACAGAGCCACTTCTATACACATCTGTCCTCTGTCATCTGTCCCCTGGCTACCATCTCTGAAGCAGAATGGCTTCAATCCCCCTGGACTTGAGTCACATTGCCCAGCTTCTCTGCATTCTGGGGAAAAAAAGTCACCTCAGCACTTAAGGTGCTATCCCTAGGCAGTAAAGGCACTTGCCACCAAGCTCACAATCGACGTTTGATCCTGGGACCCACATGACAGAAAAGAGAACCAACTCTGGAAAGTTGTCCTCTGACCTCCACATGTACATGTGCCCCTCCTGCACTCGAACGAGGAAAGTAAACAGTGTTTTGGATTCAAATATGCTATTCCCTCCATGCATTCCCTGGACTCCCAGCAGCTTGTTTCCTAGTAATTACATGGTCCAGAGAAGACATCACACTTGATACCCCCCCTGCAGTAGAGGATGCTTTCATTTCTCTTTGGTGACTTCTTGTACAGTTTTTCTGATGTAAAGCACTCCTATTCTCTTTTAGAATACAATATACTGACTGACTTAAAGATTTTAGGGTGGAACAATGATGGCGCACACCTTTAACCCCAGCACTTGGGAGGCAGAGGCAGGTGGATCTTTGTGAGTTTGAGACCAGCCAGGTCTACAAGAGCTAGTTCCAGGACAGCCTCCAAAGCCACAGAGAAACCCTGTCTCAAAACTAACACCCCCCCAAAAAATTTCCAATTCTGCTATTTTAATTTACATGGTTTGGTCATATTGAGGACAGTGACATCAATGTACAACAGGTTTCCAAAACCCTTTCATTTTGCACAACAGAAATCCTGCAGCCTTTAGCTCTCCATTCTCACATACCTGGCAGACGCCATAGTTTTCTGTCTGAATGGAAAAAACATGAGGAATTTTGTAAACATACCTGATTGTTAATGTGGTCTCTTAAATTAACTGTTACCAATAATTGAAATATTAAGTAGCTACTAAAAAAGTATAAAATGTTACCTATAGTGCAAAATATAAAATATATGTAATTTAATTAGAAAATTTAAAATCAGCTTTAAATGAAGTTTTTAAACCTTGTCTAGAGCCAGAGTGATTACTTAAGGAATACAAACCTAATAGGTCTAAACCTTTTAATTATTTAAATCATTTAAGCCAGTTTCATATGTATAGTCAAGTCCCAAATATTTAGTATCTCTCATACTAATATGTGCATATGTATGTATATGTGTATGTATGAAACATATATGTGTATATATACACATATACACATGCATTTCTGGCATTTGCATTCAGTCCATACTTCTACTAGCAAAACACTCATATTTTAGCTGTATTTGATTTAATAAAATGATTGTAAAAAGTAAATAGGTAGGCTTTCAGGTTTTTGGCATGCTCCCAGCCATTGCCACCGTGCCTTTGGGCCTTTGTTCTAAAGCACAGCTGGGCTCTGTCTCCGTCCAGGCCTTCTTGCTGATACCTTTGGGTTACTTTGTTACTTCTCCAGCTTCAGAAGCTGTGATTTCAGGCCTCACGGGTCATAGCCCAAATACCAATTCAAATTTTAGTTCTTATGTACTTAGCAATAAAATTTGCAACAGAAGTTTTCTTGGTTGTTTTGAATATTCAATCCCTTTTCTTTATAATATATTAAGTTTAAAAAGGTATAAAATTGATTTAAATATATATGCTTGCCTATCAATACCTTTACTAAATTTCTTGGCACTGTGTTTCAAGGACTTGCCTGATATTTAGTTAGTTTTTCATTTCCTTCCATAAGGCTAGAAATCAATTATGCAAGCCAAACTATTTCATTTTTTTCATTATCCCTGTTTCTTTTTCCTCCTCATGATGAATATTCTTTAGAATGGCTTATTTAATGAAACATTGTTTCATCAGCCACTCCCACCCGATTTAACATGCAAAATATAGGTGAGGCATTAGTCTGCCACTTGTAGGCCTCTTCCTAATTGTTTATAAGGCAAATCTGTTTCTAAGTTAAAGGTGCCACAGCCTGCTCTCTGCCAGCTCTTCCTAAAATGTCTGTAAGTTAGTAACAGAGAAGGAAGTTCCATTTGGAATTGTTAGCCCATCCTCAGACACCACTCTTGGTACATATCCTCCAGGGTGATAAAATAAACCAATCACTAAACAAGCAAAATAGCTTCTGCTTAACCGTCTACAAGTAGGTAATGAGCCCTGTGTACTCTATTAATGACTATGTATTTATGTAGTTACTGACAAACGCTATTTAAGATGTATGTTTAGTCTTACATCCTGCCAATGAAGAAAACCAGAGGCTGGTGACACTCCAGCCCTGCAGAAGGGACTGTGGGTCCAGATGGGAGGTGATACCCCCTTCAGCGGCCCTGCCACCATCCGTGGGAGCCTGTTGCAGAAAAGAAAATTAGTACAGGTCTTGCAGTCCATCCTTTCACTGGACTCATTTCAGTTAAAAATAATTCAGTGCAGTCTTTAACCTTTCAAGTTCCTGTTGCCTATTTTAATGAAAGGTATTACGCTGCTTATGTGAAACTCTTGAGTAAAACTGGTCTTTCAAATATGAAGGAAGTGTTAAAAATAATAACGTGGCTCCTCTCTTCTCTTTCTGTCTTTTGTTTCGCCTTCTGTTGACCACATTCCTCTCCTAAATCCTGAATTTGGATATGCTTTTGCATGTTTTGAAGTGATGTTTGACTTTACCATGATTTGTATGTTTCTCCTTTGACTGATGCTGTGCATACTCATCGTACAGTATTGAAAATGGCAAAAAAAAATGAGTTTTTCTTTTTTTCTCTGAGTTTATACATCTTTTTGTGTTTGCTCTCCTGGCCTTTCGCTCCCCTGAGTTTTGTTGCACACATCGGCTCTGCCTTGTTGAAGCCAGCATGAGAGGTGGCTATTGCAAGGTCTCACACTGCAGAGGGGCAGGTGGCTCTCTTCCTTGATGTTCCCCCAAAGTCCCTGTGTGTTTATCCCCAGGCTCACAAGTCAAAGGGGGGCCGCGGGTGTGTGTGTGTGTGTGTGTGTGTGTGTGTGTGTGTGTGTGTGTGTGTGATATGTATCCCCTGCCTTTGTCCCTCTTCCTTTCGGTGGTGATCCTACTACATTCCTACCACATTTCTCTTTCTGCCCATGAAAGGTCTTGCATCCATAGAACCTATGTAGAGAGGAAAGCTTCCTGTCAGTGAGGAAGCCCTGTCTTCTGTTTCTCTCTCCTTCACTTTGGGACACATCCCTCCTTGGTTTTAATTCTTTATCGTGTGTGTGGAGTTACTGCTCTAGACTTTTAGTGCTATGACATCTCTGTAGAGGAGACTGTCATGAACAAAGGGTTCCAGAACACGGGGATGCGAGCTGTAGGCTATCTTCCTGTTTTGAAGTGTAAAACTAGCAATCATGTAGGTTTGGTGGCTTCACACTTTAGGGCTCATCCCTAGTTGCAATGGAGCTGTTTCTATGTCCGGCTCATCATTCCCACTTTAATACTAACTGCCTCAAAGCTGAAGAGTGGCAGAGGAGCAAAAACTTACATACGTGATAGCTTACACAATTCCTAGGAACGGCCCGTCTGACTCAGGGATATAAATGCAGGAAATTGGGTTCAGTTCTGAAGACATGAAAGAGGAGAAGTGGGAAGGGGAAGGCTCTGAAGGGCAACCCTGGAGGCACATTGTTCTGCCTGGATACCGAGGGATGAAATGAGCATTTATTAACCACCAAGCTGGAAGACTGTCTTGGCACCCCTGTGAATCAACTATTAAACCACCCTGAGTACACAGCTAAAATGAAGTACCAACAGAAACGCCTGCGTTGTCACAAGCGTGCATGCTTGGTTGGCCTCTGAAAGCAGTTTTCATCCGCACAGCGGGAGCTGGAAAGCTAAGATGGAGGAGGAGGAGGCAGAGCTGGCAGGTAATGGGACGGTAGCCAAGGGGAAGGGGACGTAAAAGTAAGGTGCTGCATAGTTCTTATTGTCAACTTGACACAGCCAAAGTCACCTGGGAAGGGGCAGCTTCAATACAGGAGTTGCCTAGAGCAGACTGGCCTATGGCTGTATCCCTGAGAGACCGCCTTAACTGATGATTTATGTGGGAGGACCCCCCTCTGTGGGTAGAACTATCCCTAGGCATGGTTCTTATCTGAACTGGATGAGAGAGCCAGCGTAAACCAGAGACCAAGCCCACAAGCGCAGTGGTTCCCTGTGGTTCCTGTTGCAGGTTCCTGCTTTGACTCCCTGCCCCGATTCCATGGGGTAGACTGTTCCCTGGAGTTGTAAGCCAGACAAACCCTTTCTTCTCAAGGTTGCAATGGCTCTTGGTGTTTATAACAGCAACGGAAAGCAAACGGGAACAAGTTGTTTCAAAACACTGATGAGTGAGCAGTAGCAACATAATAGTCCCATCATTTTTGGCTGAAATTCACATAACTAGATCCAAAAATTATCAGAAGAGCAAACATGCCTGAGAATAAGATTCCATTTTCAAGGAAGAAAGTGAGAAGAACTGTCTCTGTTAGGCTTAAACTTGATAAAGTAAAAAAAAAAGTCAGAGCAATCTAAGAAAGTACAAGTGACATCTGCACAGATGAGTCTACATTTTTCCTAAACCGAAGGAGCCACTATACAGCAAGAAGAAAGGGTGGGCATTCCTCAAAGGCGGTTGGAAGGAGGATAAAAACTTCAGAAAGAAACAAAATAAAGTTGGATTTTTAAAAATCATATATGTAAGTAAATTATGGATGAACTAAATACAGAGAATCAAAGTAGAGAGAAAATGAAGCATTTCATATTATGACCTCTGCAGACTCTGTCCAGCTCTCTCTGTCTCTCTAGGAGGTAACCCATATGATCTGTCTAGCTTCATTTAGATGATTTCCTTCAATTGAATGTTTACAGTTTAATAGAAAGGTGCTGATCTGCCTCCAGCTGCTAAATTTAATTGCTGGTTTGCTCCATTCAGTCTTTGCATTCCGTTCCCATGTTAGCATACATTACCCAGTAATCCCATGTTTTGGTCTTCACGAAATACCATGCTCTGGCTGTTCCTCAGCAGCCCATTCAACACCATCACCCACAGGAAAGCAGAAGCCAACATAAGTGCAAACGTGCAGGAAGTATCTGAGACAATTCCGAGGGAGGCGGGAGGCCTGATGAAGCTGGGAGAGCCACCAGGTGCTGCTGTGGGTACCTCCAGCCAAGGAGGAGGAAAAGAATGAATCTGGATGGAGGCAGCATCGACTGTGTTAAGTCTAAGTCTCTAAAGAAGAAAGGCAGCCTTGGGGCCAGGCTCCACACCCACCCCTGCCGGGTTTCACAGTAGTCCTGGCCTCCTTCTGTCATCCTCCTTCCTGGAGTGGGCTTTTTTCCTGTTTGCCCATCATTTGATGCCTCCTTTGTACTGTGGTTTGGGAATTGCCAACGCAGAACTCCCTCCCTGAACGCTGGAGGATGCGGAACTCTGGCGGTGGGCAGCAGCATTTCTCATCTTGTGATGTTTGCTGGTTCCCCTGCCCTGCTTACTGTTAGGGTTCATGGCTACTTTGTGGTACCCGCAGCATCACACTCTATGGTAGGGCGTCAGGATACCTTGTTTATTTTTACTTACCAACAGTCTCTGGAAACACATAGTTTTTGAATGCAAAGCTGGCCTCAGAATGAAGATGGAAGCTCAGACCAAGACTTGAGACAGCTATACTGGGAAAAAAAGATGTGATACTCAAGGCAGAAAAGGCAGGGGAGGAAAAGTATTCCTGGGGACATCTTACCCTGAGCTTGCCTAATGGAACCAGTGTGTGCTCCAAGGCAAAGGGACCAATGCCAGGGTGCGACACAAGAATCACAAGTTGTAGTAAGTGGCTTGGACTTCAAAGACCATTAGAGTGGGTGAAAATAAGGAACCCTGGCTATACAGAACTCCATGGCCACACTGAATAGTGCGGGCTCTTTACCGAAGGCACCGGAAAGTTTTAAGGTGACAGAGACCTGGACAGATTTGTCTTTTAGAAATACTTTTCTGTAAGGGATTTTGTGGATGATATGTCAGATCTAACTGGAGAAAAGCAGCCCAGCAGGGTATGCTCAGGAGTCACTGGGAGTGAGGGAAAACCTGATCCAGAAATAGAAGGAGAGCAAAGAGAGCAGACAGAGCAAACAGGAGGCTGGCCCTGCAGATCCCGGTCAGTGACTGAGCAAAGGAGGTGCTTGCTTCTGGTGGGTGGAGACTTTGGACCTGACAGGCTGTCAAAACTCAACTCCCACTGTGAGCAGTCGAAGAAAGGACGTTCCCTAAAATAGCATCTTGCTGAAAGGTGTCCTTTAGCTTTTGTGGGGCCGGAATCAGAAAAGATGCGGTCCGTCTGCCAGACAGTCAGGAGGAGGCACACTGTGACCCTTGGTAACCATGGACACAACAGAGACTCTCAGTCCCAGTCTCACAGTACATCCGACCACCTCTTCATGGACAAATAAAACTATGCCTGTAATCTGCAGAAGCGTGGTTACAGTGAGGGTTCTGTCGTGTTACAGAGTATCAAGGAAAGCTCTGTAAATATCTTTAGAATTCTTTTCTTCCATCTTTCAAATCAGTTACCAATTTCTGTACTTTCAGAGACGCCCCCCCACCCTGGCGCCATTTTTTATGAAGTCATAAAATTTGAAATACCTGTTTCTCTTCTCTGAGACTTTACTCAGGATTCTTGGATGTTAGTTCTTTTGCCTTAGTGTAAGGCGTATATCATGCCTAATCAGTTGGATGATGCTGGCTATGTACTTCATGCCACCCATTGTCCTCAATGGCTGTCACTCAGGAGCTTGATATGAAGTAGTCAGAAACCCACGGGTGAGACGTGTGCGCATGAGTACATGGGTAGGTATGCACTTCACATTCTTAACACCACTATAAAAAAAGTCCCGTGGAACTACTCACATCACTTTAGGGAAATCTGGGGGCCTGTGCACTGAGGAGCTGGTAATTGAGCTGGTGCCATGTGAAAACTAGAGGTTTGGCAAGAGGGAAGCGTGGTCAGGGAGGAGGCAGCGCTCCAGGCAAGGGAGACCGTGCACCTCAGAGCTATGAGGACGAGAAGAGCAAGAAGCAGTTTGGTTCACTGGCACCGCGGGAGTGAAGGCTGTTCTAGGAAAAAGGCCACTGCGACTGCTCCTGAGCCTTTTTAGTGTATACAGTAAATAATATACGTAATATATAATGTAACACCCAGAGCAGGGACATCACGAAGAGGACACAGGAAGGCGCAGTGAGACACGAAAGGACAGGAAGGGGAGGCCCCGCCAGGTCCCACAGTTGGCTGGATGGACTTGGGTCTGGGTTACGCCCATCCTCCCTGCCACGACCCACTGCTAAGGAAGTCCCACTGATCCTGTGCTCACAACTGCATGCTTGACAGAGTCCCAACTGCAAACGGTGTTTCCCTGGGAGCATGGAGCCTAGCGAGCTGACCCTCAGCTAAGCTGTGATCTGTACAGGCTCCATGTGAATATTTTCTGTCTTTATCAATCTGTGGCTTACTCCCTTTGAATTGTTATTCCTACTCACTTTTATTGTATTACTAAAGTTGTGGAGACTATTTAAAACTGTCATGTAGTGTTGATAATTATAGAACTGAAAGCCACAGATTAGACAATGGCATGCATTTTACTTGTTCTGGCAAAGAGGTTCGAGCCCAGGGTCTCATGCTAGGCAGATGCTATCTAGCTAAACTATATCCTTAATGTTAAGATTTTGAAGTACCTAAACAATAAGGTAGGTTTAAAATACATGAAAGAGAAAAGGCATGCTTTCTATACACCAAATGACAGTAAATAATCAACAGTTTTCTCACAGCTCAGTGCTCAGTAATTTCTGATGGCTTTAACTACTTGTAACTTCATCAGTAGGTTTAGTAATGAGTTGCTACCTGTTGCAACTTCCTTAATAAAGGAGTTTGTAGACTAGCTTGATTTTATCATGACTTTGTCTGAAACATTATTTTCTAAAGTCATACAGTTCTGAGATCTGTAACCCTGAGTGTTTAGATTCACAAAGCTACAGAATGAGCAGGGTTTCTAGGGGAAACGGTTATGAATCCCAGCTTTAATTATATCTTTATTTGGGAGTTTTACAGATAATATACTTAAACTACTCATATATATTGTATAAGACCTTCCGATCTCTTCATGTGTTCAAGTAAAATCACTGCTGGTGGTGGGTGTGTCTGTAGCTAGTCAGCTCTCTCTGCAGTTGGGAAGTAGACGGAGAAGAAGGCTGGTTTGGCTTTCTCTGTTCTATCTCTTCTTTCTGTTTTATTGTTTTGTTTTGCTCTTTTCTTTTATTCAGTCAGGGACTCTAGCCATGAATGGTGGATGTCCACATTTAGAGTGCCCTTCTCAATTAAACCTTTCTGGAAACTTCCTCAGAGACACACTGCATGGATTAAATGCAGTAATGATTAACTCTGAGTCACCAATAATGCAATGGTGTTGCATTAAGAAGTCAAAGCCCTTCCCCTTGGTGTCGTTTAACCAAGAGTGAGCTCAGATTTCAATTCTCTTCTGTGCTCACTGTGTCTTCTATCTTCTGTCTGCTGTATGAGTCTGAGTCTGTGCCCGACTGAGGGCGGTCTGTCTGTTGTGGGATGTCTGACCATAGAGAAGAGTAGCTTTGCTCTCTCTTTTATTAACACTGGAAGCATGGCATGGGACAGGAATGGGATACTTTACAGCAATCCTTAACGGAGTGTTACAAGGGAAAAAGTGACTGGCCCTGACTGACCCAGATTACAAACAGTACTGTTAATTAACTAATATCCATAGCTATTGTGCTCAATATTTATGGTGGGTACTCATTTTAGGAGGTTGCTTTCAACCTCTGCATTTGCTGTTCCTAGCAAATGATACACATGCATTGTTCTGGGTCAGGGGCATGGAAGAGCACATACATTAAGATTAGAGACCCTCTTTGTGTTTATTGCGGTCTTGTCTACACATTTTATGCCTTAAACTGTTTGTTTTATGTTCGCTTTATAGAATTTTTATTGATTCCTTGAAATAAGGGACTATATCCTTTCTGATCTCAAAGCAATTAAAAGTTTTTGTTGTGTTCATCTTCTTTGCTTTAACTGTGCATAGTACCTTGCACATATAAGCATTTAGTATATACAGAATTAAATTATGTAAAAGCTTGTTCCTTCTTGTTTGTGAAAATCCAGGAGTGACTGATAATCTGTTATGTCAGTAACAGACTCCTCCACCTACATAGTCTCAGGAAATACAGCTTTCATATTTGGCCAGCAGAGCAGGCCCCACCCAGGTGTTAATGGCTCCTGGCTTGAGAGTTGACCATAGTCACTCATTTAATTATAGACATGCTATCAATTAGCCCTGTGTCCTGGGCAGTCATTGAATCTTTCACTGTTTTAACCTTGTCCAGTGTCTTTGGGGTTTGCACTGTCCATGTCCATGGGATAATAGCATCACAGTAACCACACCCATTAAGGCTTGCATAAGGATTAGGAGAGCCAATGTATGTATGTTAAGGCACCCACCAGCCACAGAGCCAAATGCCAAGTAATGGTCATGTTGAAATTATTAGGAATGGTGGCCTCTGCCAGCCCTTCAGTTTAAACTAATGTCTGTGGTCATGGAGGTGGTTCTTGTGCTTTTCAAAGTGATTTGAGTATGAGAAGTTTGTTTGAAATCACATATTATTCTATGAAAAATGATAAAGTAGCTTTAAACAATAAAATAGCCTACAAATAGGATAAGAGCCTCAATAGAGAGACCATCAGAACATATTCTAAGGAAGTTCTCACATCAGTATGAATGCAGCTTGTGCTAAAGGATGTGTAAAAGGATGCCCACTGCTGCCTTGTGGGCAAGGTGACCCCCAAGCACATCATTTTCTTAGGAAAATGTGACCCTGGCCCTGTAGGACTTAACAGGGTCATAGGGGACACCTGGCAGGAGACATGATTCAACATAAGCAATAGGCCCTTTACTGATTGTCATGATCCCTTTCTTCATGATCCCCACTTTCTGCCTTTGGCCACTTCTAGCAACCTCAAAATTTATGCCATACTCCACTGGAAAGGTCACAGTCTCATTCAGTTCTTAAACTGTGATTACACACACACACACACACACACACACACACACACACACACACACACACACAGAGGCTCCAGTAGCACAAATTCCTTCAGCTAAACTACCTGGCCGTAGA